GAAAGTACTTCCTCCTAGTTGAATGCAGGCGAAGGTATCACGTTTAACGGAAGCGTTTCGGTCACATGAATTCTAGGGCAATACACATGCGGGTTTGTTAGTATCTATAATTATCACGCATGCAAACGTCAAGATGTAATAAATAAAATATAAGATTAGCATAGTTTAATTATATTAATTTTACAGTTTAATCACTTAATCGGACCTCTTTAGATAATTGTGTGTACAGCTAGCTAAATTAAAATCATTCAATTGTTAGCATACATTAATTTCAATTATTTCGCAACTTAACATTTTTTTTACATGCGTCTTGTTGTAAATTTCGTGCATTTTCTACAAATATAATACAATAATTAATAGAATTATTTAAATGGAAATTTGTAAATAACATTTGACATTCTTTCACATGAGACAGTCTGATGAGAAAGAATGCGTACTTAAATCGTAATGGCTAATCATTTCAAATTACAACATATAATTGACTGTAACGCACAGAACGGATCCATTTTCTCTGCCGCGTATCGCAAGTTTTAAAGCAGGATGTCGCTCTTAAAAAGATTCTAAAAGTACACGGACGGAGCAAAATGTTGGGGATTTTATCTCGTTGAGTCACTCTTTAAAGCGGCCCTCTCCGCTTTCCACCGTCCTCGTCGAAGACGGTGATAATCGAGAGAGTCGCGTTCCATCTCCAGCTGCGTGCCGAGCACTTTCGCGATCTTTCCCCGACGTTCGTGAGACGCCTCCGTCTATTATTGTAACGTCTGTCCCCAGCTCCCGTTAACATCCACGTCGTCGCGACGACGTACATGATTATTCGTGTGATATTCAGAAGAGAGAAAAAAGCGAAGCAATTGCAATGGCTTTTATTAAACAATAAATGAATCTTGCGACTAGATTATTATATTTTTCACGTAAACGCAATAATCTGCTCCTACGTGAATACACAATGGCTGCGTTCCAGCAGAAAAAGCAACTTTAATATAATTGGCCTTGGATTTACATAAAGCAATTATATTAAAGAATTTTACAACAGTTGCAAAATTGCATTTTCTGATAAATGTAATCAATGTAAATTACATAGATTATAATATGTTTCACATGTCATTTATGTAAATAATCTATAGATTATCGAAGATAGATTTATTATTCTTTATCGTTATTTAGATTCTTTATCGTTGCACTGAACTGCATTAAACTTCTGTTCTCACTTATATATGTTTTATTTATTAATATTAAAGTCAAATATATTAACAATAACCATACAATCTAATTACTTCTTTTTATATTGTATTATCCAATTTAAAACACATATTTTACATTACTTGTATTGTCTACGTAAAAAGATTCGTGTAATTTAATGTAAACAACACATAAATATTTCATATAAACATAATCTTGAAATATGTGGCATAATCCAATTTACGGCCGATTCTCTATCACATACAAATTAGGAACTAATCTACAATGTGCTTTTTGCTTTCTATTTCTCTTTACATTTATTTTTTTTCTTTTTATCTTCTATCTTGTTTCTTTGTTTTTTGTCGCCTGAGACAAAAGATAAATTTCAAAAGAGACAAATATGACAAAAAAATACTTTCGATAAAAGGGTCACGAAGAAAGAAAAAATGTATAAAAAAGCAAAAAAACAAAAAACGAAGAACATATAGATTGATCTTAAAACTAAATAAACTGCGAGACAATCTTTACATTTGCGCGTACACGTGCATTAGTTTCCGACATTTTTAAGAGATCACTTTTTTAAAGGATGACTTTTTAAGGAATACTTCAAAGATTAAGAGGATCGAAGATTAAACCTGCATTTATCTAAAATATTTCTATTTAGAAGTTTCCTTGATGGAACAATTTTTTACAAACAACATTTCTAGATGAAATTTAATTAACTTTCGAGAAAAGAGCATGCAAGAGTCGGTATTTGGTACAGTAGAGACAGGAAATGATGCTTACCTCTCATTTCTTAATGAGCTAGGCACGTACGAAGCGTACTTCGTCATTGCGTGCGACGCCTGGCGATGGATCGAATTTGTAAGACGAGACGATCAACATACAGCGAGACATGCGATGAGTCACGTTGTCTTCATTAAAGTCGATGTCTGCGTTTTATCAAACAACTAAAATCAAATTCGATAACCTTTTCATATAAAATCTGGTGAAATTTATGAGAATTCTAGTGGAGATAATCGAAGTTCTAATTGATACAATATTTCTGGTAAAATCTACTAGAATTCGCATTTTTACCAGAATAATTATATTCTAGTTATCCAGAAAATTCTAGTTATCCAGAAAATTCTAGTTATCCAGAAAATTCTGATTCATTTTTTTTGTACTAGAATTACTATTTAATTCGATCAGTCCATTTATCTCTGCATATATCAATTATAATAACATAGCAAAATCTGGCTAGCTAATTCAAGAATAATTCTAAGACATTTCATTACAAAAATCCTGGTTTTTCCAAAATGTATTTATCGATTAATTTTCATTATTTAAGTAATTTTTATCGCATAATATTGTGCTTTGTATTCAAATTAGGACACTTTGTGTGACGAATAAATTAAAACGCTAACAATATTATTTATAAATGCTTTATAAATAATATTAAACCGTCATATCAATAATATTATACCGTCAGGATAAACGATTTTTCTATTACGTTCTATTTTAGACATTAAATTAAAAAAATTTTCTATTGACAACTTATTTCATCTTTAAGGAAAGACTTATATACTCAAATACAATTTTTTAAATTATTTCTTTCTTTAATTATCTGATTTTTTTAGAAAGAATAAATTCCAGGCTAGTCCTGAAATTTCAGGGATTTTCTAGAAATTTTCCATAATACATTAAATTTTATAGTATAATTCTAGAATCTAAGGATATTCAAGAACTGCTGAACATCATGAATATATTCTGATATAATATATTCTGATATGAATATATTTTAATAAAATTTATTTTAAAACATTATAAGAAATATAATAAGATAATATAATATTATAAGAAATATAATAATGTTAGAAATAATAAAAGGATCAAAAACGCGTAAGATTGAAATATACAAATAAAATAATTTATTTAATAAATAATGTATTGAAAAAATTTAGAATTATATTATAGATAATGAGAAAAACAAAAATATAAAATAATATATAATTTTAATTCATATTAAGCAATTATTTATATAAATATATATCTATGTTTTATTAAAATATAATTATAAATTTTAAGTTCCCCTTTGTTGCAGAGCGCAAGTGAAAAATCACGAGACAATCATAAAATGAACTGATCATAAAATGATGGGATTAATTTGAAGGAACCGAAGATCGTGGGAGAATGTCACGCAGGCTACGGAGGCGGTGGTCAATTGTGCAAAATTAAAGGAACGAGATAAGGCAGGCAATAATCTTAGTAGGGGTGATAGGGGGCGCAACCGGAAGTGCAGGGTCGCAACGCGGTCGCGGTTATTTCCGACTTGAGCACAGCTTGAGTCGAGTTTCTCGCATGCCGACCGACCGTCGCGGAGGAAAATTTAACAATGTGTTTCAACTTCCCGTGCATTCGGTCCGTGGAACACGTATCAATCTCAGCATGAGGCCGAAACGCGCTGATTCCGTCGGCTTAACTGTATCTCTATTAATCCGTTAGCTCTACACGAGCTAAAGCGATGTGCTGCTCGACATTCTTTCATTACCGCAGTATGAATGCAAATTTAAGCATTTTGCGTTCTGTAAAATAAAATTATTAGAATATTTCACGATTGCTAAAAGTGTATTGCACATAATTTATTGAACTTTGTGAAGTATAAGATATGCATATATTTTACACAAATTAATTTTACAAGCCATAATTAAATCGTTATTTCCTGACAATGATCATTGTTCAGAAAGCAATAAAATATATAAATTACTCTTCTTTTGTATCCTCAAAAATAATTATCGCATCTCAAAATTAACAAACAGTAAATAAGTACGTCTAATAAGCATCTGTAACTTCTGTCGGTAAGACGTGGTCGTACTTTCCACTTGCTGATAATTAAGTAATTACGCAGTTTAAATTATATGTAATGTTTAAAAATTATAAAATCATGTCGCTTAATTGATAAAAATATAGATGTCTCTAGGATACAAAGATAAATTAGCAAGGGCTATGGTATATAAAAGAAACTGAAGAGAGTACTGGCGTCGTTTATAGTCTGTAATACCGACGAAACATGTATTTTCTATTTTCTTCTTTTTTTTCCTTTATGCAGAATAAAAATCCTTTTTTATTCTTTAGAATAGAAGAATGCAAAAAGCTGTAGGAAATTATAAACATCGTTTTCTGTACTTGTATGAAAAATAAAAAAATATAAATTAATTTCCTGTTACTATGTAGATTATACTTTATTATACTTCATATAATAAAAACAATTCTAAATGTACATCTAAATAAAAAATAGTTTCCTCACATTTGAATAATGCATAAAAGAATATGAGACCTTCAAATTATGATTTTGAAGCTTATAAGAGAAGCAAAGCCCGTCAATTTTTCAATATTTTACTTAATGTTTTATTATTTGATGTGCATGTTTTAAAACAAATGCCAATTCTGTGCCATTTTTAATGATAGAAAATACACAATTTTGTGAACAAACAATTTAATAAATGTTGAGTCAAACTCAAATATTACATTTTATTTTCGTCAACCTAAATTTCAAGTCTTTCTTATAATTACAACGCTTGTATATTTATTTAAAACTGAATTTTTTTGTAATAGTATATTATTTCGTAAATTATTTAACTTTTATATATTAGATTAACTGAATATCTAATCAATACTCTCAACGTATATTTCATGAATTTTTATTCACATCTATTTAATCATAATATAAAACTGCGTATGTATGACAACAGACGAATATAAATATATACGAAGTCTCCGAAAATACAAAACTCAATATACTAGGATCTTAATAATCAGGGATTATTGCGAGTGACGACAGATTCATATGATAATAATTTATTCAAATATGTAGCGTCCGCTTAGAGCGGTAGTACAGTGGATGATGGTAGGGGCGCGCGAAAATTAGTAATCGAGAAAGTAATGAATCTTGTAGAATGATACATTTAAAAATAAAGAATCATTCTTCGAATTATCACACTAAGTGCGATATCGACGGGGAGCAACAAAAAAGCGCGCGCGCGCTCCGCAAAAGATCGAAACAAAAGTCCATAAAAAAGATACAAAAGGAGAGATAACGAGTTAAGAAGCATGGGTGAAGGGTGTATTGCGTTATCGCTCGGTCGAGAAAGAGATAGAGAGAGAGAGAGAATAGGTAGAGAGGGCGATAGAATGTCGCTTCCGCCGCGAAATATTTATTTTAATTTTCGTCGACTTCGGCTTCCTGCTCCTCATCGAATTCTGCGTCTTCGTCTGCGGTAGCTTCCTGGTACTGCTGGTACTCGGACACCAAGTCGTTCATGTTAGATTCGGCTTCAGTGAATTCCATCTCATCCATACCCTCGCCAGTATACCAGTGAAGGAAAGCCTTCCTCCTGAACATAGCAGTGAACTGTTCGGAGATGCGCTTGAACAGTTCCTGGATGGCGGTGGAATTGCCAATGAACGTGGCGGACATCTTAAGACCGCGCGGCGGAATATCGCACACAGCGGTCTTTACATTGTTCGGTATCCATTCGACGAAGTACGAGCTATTCTTGTTCTGAATGTTGAGCATCTGCTCGTCGACCTCCTTCATCGACATTCTACCGCGGAAGATGGCAGCGACTGTGAGGTACCTGCCGTGCCTGGGATCGCACGCCGCCATCATATTCTTGGCATCAAACATTTGTTGGGTGAGTTCCGGTACAGAGAGAGCTCTGTATTGTTGACTACCGCGAGATGTGAGAGGTGCAAATCCGGGCATGAAGAAGTGAAGACGAGGGAAGGGCACCATGTTTACGGCAAGTTTCCTAAGATCGGCATTTAATTGACCGGGGAACCTCAGACAGGTCGTAACACCGGACATCGTGAGGGAGACGAGATGATTTAGGTCACCATACGTTGGTGTAGATAGTTTCAGGGTGCGGAAGCAAATATCGTAAAGGGCCTCGTTGTCGATACAGTAAGTCTCATCGGTGTTCTCGACAAGTTGATGTACAGAAAGAGTGGCGTTATACGGCTCGACGACTGTGTCGGACACCTTGGGCGACGGCACAACGGAATACGTGTTCATGATTCTGTCGGGGTATTCCTCACGAATTTTGGAAATAAGCAGGGTACCCATACCGGAGCCGGTACCACCGCCCAAAGAGTGCGTAAGCTGGAATCCCTGCAAGCAGTCGCAGCTCTCGGCCTCTTTTCTTACAACATCGAGGACAGAATCCACCAACTCGGCGCCTTCGGTGTAATGACCTTTGGCCCAGTTATTACCAGCGCCGCTCTGACCGAATACAAAGTTGTCCGGTCTGAAGATCTGGCCAAATGGTCCCGAACGTACGGAATCCATAGTGCCGGGTTCCAGATCGACGAGGATGGCACGCGGTACGTATTTACCGCCAGACGCCTCATTGTAATAGACGTTAATTCTTTCCAACTGGAGATCAGAGTCACCGTGGTAGGTGCCAGTCGGGTCAATGCCATGCTCGTCACTTATGATTTCCCAAAACTGTAACACACAAAAATCACCTCGTAAGAATATTTCCATTAAAAAAAGGAGTTTTATATCTTAATATATTAAGTTTTATTTTAATAAATTATATATTAAATTATTAAAAAGATTATCATGAGAAGGAAATAAGAATGTGTTGCGTATTTCAAGCAAGTGTTGTCTATACCGGAACGAATCGGCTGCCACAAAAATTAGATACGCCTTTTGAATCACGCATCATCCACGCGTAGGAAGGAAGTTTCGCCCACGGGCTTTCTCCCCGCAATTATTCTCGTATCCGTTTTCCAGCCTTTCATTGTACTGAGCGCAAACGGAGCTGACGTTCAACGACCTCGCGCGTGGCGAATAGCTCGCGTGTAATTAATCATAATATCCCAAGGCTTCTACGAATTGAATTACGTTTCTCTTTTTTTCCCCTTTTGCATGTTTTCAGTGCAAGCCTACTTCTCGATGGTGTAACCGAATCGCCCGAGCGATAATCGAGACTAATTATCGTAAACGCGGTTACGCTCCTGTCTCGGAGCGACCAGTCGATCGGCCCATCGAAGCGCATCGCAATGTAACGAGTACAACGATGCTTCAGCGATGGACTGTTGCCACGTAATCTCCCGGAAGCGCTTGTTTCACTATGGTAATCATAATCGGTGCTCCAAACTAAAATGTCAAATCGTTCTAAACTTTCAATTTAGCAAAGATATAGCATAATTTTCAAATTGTATACTTATGCACCCATTATATGAGCAATAGCATGAATAGATCGCGAAAAAATTTGCTGAGAAGTATCATAATTTAATGCAGGTACACATAATTAATATTAATGAATCAAATTAATTTCTGATTAACCTGTATACAAAAAAGATAGTTTGAAAAATCTCCCCCTCTCTCATAAGTCAGAATATGACTGGGCGTGTCTGATGTAATCTTATTTGCAAACAAAAGGGGAAGTTAAATAAAATCTGCGGTCCATGCTGCATCTCTATTCCATCTTAGAAACGCGGTTCAAAGACCCACGGCGTACTATTTCTGGAGATCAACGTGCAAGAGATGCGTGTGTATTTTCAAGTACAAAGGCATGCAAGTAGGTAGAACAGTTAAGTGGACGTAATTAATCGTCCTCAATCATCTTATCGTGATCCAGAATATCGCGCGACTTTACGTCAGAGTGTGGCAAGGTACCAAATTATACGTTACTCGGCAAATTATTAGTCTCCTGACATTTCACAACTAAGACGTTTCACTGCGGAAATCCGCTGTCTTCAATTTGTTCGTGGTACCAATTTTATGGTAAATTCGCAAAACAAAAACGATTCCACTGACCATGTACTTGTAACTATCCATTAATTATGAAATGAAAACCATAATTAAAAAAATATCTTGTCATAATTATGTTTGAAAACAAAACCAATTTAGTTTCTATTTCTCATATTTCCTCAGTATCTACTCCATTAAAAAATTATATACAGTCAATAATTACAAGCAGATAAAATCGAAGGTAAATAAAAATACTACAGATAATTTTATTTCCACAATGTTGCAATTTTCACCAAATCAAATGTTATTTTGATGGAATCGTTTTCCGTTTGGTAAAAAGCTCCATCGTTGAATAATCTGATGAAATGAAGTCCATATACAACCTACGTGAAAGTCATTAAGCAAAAACCTGATCCGCCTACCGTTCAGTACATACATCCCACATGAAGACGATGAGTGCATTAAGCAGTGACCATATATGATCATCGTTCGAAAGCTAAGATCACCCAACCCTATCTGTCCCCACCCTACCATCTCCACCTTCTTGTCCAGCCTGGTCGCAATGTACATATTACAGTCAGATATGAGTCATCAATGTCACCGCTATATATAGAGATGATTGTAGAACGACAGTACGATCAGCAATGATCGCCCGGTTATGCACTGCAATGATATGTTTTTGTCCATTTATGTTTTCAATTTGTTCCATTTTTCTCGAATCAATTCTCGCGCTTAGAACTCATAATCTTCGCATCACCGACAGCTGGCGACAGACGTAGGCTATCATTGCTAAACCGGAAACAGCGTAAAAGATCGTACCGTTATTCTAAATGCATACATGCCACGCGCACGATGCTGCATTACGGATTGCATAACCACCGAGCGGATACGTGATGCAGCAATTGGTCCACGAGCGATCCCGAGGGTCTCACTGACTTTAATGAATTGTCGCTTATGGTAGATGGATGAGAGATGTAGAAGAGGAAGAATTAATTCGACAACAGCTGTCTATTTAGACTGTATAGGAATGTGATATGTACACCGAACAATTTTGCTAAAATATCTCAAAATTTAACTAAAAATTTGAAATAAATTCTATTGGATTACAAAAATAATTATGTAAGAAATTCAAGCATGATGAATAATGCTGTAAAAAATTATGTTCTAATTTGAGAGTCCTACTATAATTAGCCCTTATAAATTTGATAAACCAACAAAATTATTTTTAGATCTAAATTTTAAGGTATTTCAACATAAACGTTCTTATATACATCAAAGTGTTAATTCAATAAATATATACACTATAATACACTATAATAGATTGACTAGTAAGTATATATTATGAAAGTTAATATTTCGACTATAATATGTATGTGTATATGTATATATATATATATATATAGTCTTTATTATAATTCTATATATATATATATATAGTCATAAAGTGTTTATTTTAGTAAATGTATACACTGACTACAGCAGACTTATATATAGTTACAACTATATATAATATTAACTATATAATCGAAATTAAAAAAATGCTAAAAATAAAACAAGATCTTTAGAGAAGACTAATTATCTGTTCTAATAACCACTGTTTTTTGCAAACACTCAGCAAGTTTAAGGTTGGAAAATGTTATTTTGATTTCAAATATTATACCGATAAATGCCTTAAAATGCGATAAGGAAATCTGATTAATAAGAAATAAATAATATTAGAGAGAGTACTCCTATTTCTCGTTATGAACTGATTCTATCAGTTGGTCTTAACGGCACGAAGTACGTGTATTATAGGAATATATTATACTACACTGAATAATAAAATATTCTTTTTTGAAATAAACTTTGAAATAAACAGAGAAAACGAATTCCATCACGGATCCTAATTCATTTAATTTATGCGAATTGTTATGCGCATGTGGAAATATACTAATAATTAGATTACGCACCTCGTTTAAATGTAGATTTGGAGTATATTTTCTTTGTAATTAAGGTAATATAAAAATTATTAAATGAGAACATAAAACTAGCTCGCATTGACTAATACGTAACTTACTCATAAATACTTTATAATGAATCATCTCTCTCTTATAAC